TTTGATACCCCCCGCTTAGCAGAGGATCACATTAAAAAACAAACAAAAAAAAAGCAGCGAAGCATCACAGACGTCTTGCTGGGCAGTTACTGCACTTCTCTTGCATTTGAAATTTTCGAAATTTGGAAGCTTCCCTCTTTTCATGTTTTTTTGGAGGGAGGGGTGGGGGGGGGGGGGGGAATTTGGAAGTTTTTTTTTTTTCAGTTTTTTTTTTTTTTTCCTTGTTTAACAGCGAAAATTTTTTGACGTTTTTAAGGGTTTTTTCTTTTTTTTTTTTTTTTTTTTTTTTTTTTTTTTTTTTTTTTTTGCCTTTAAAATTTTAATATTTTAGGTTTTTTTTTTTAAAAAAAATAAAAAAAAAAAAAAAAAAAAAAAAAAAAAGTGGGACACTTGAATGTCCTCTATGTACTCCATGTCACGTAGAGCACATTTGGATGTCACACAAGTTTTTATTTTATTTTTATGTAGTCTGTGTAGATGGAGTGAGCAGTACATTGTTGTGACACTCAAATGTCACACTGATTGTGACATGGAAAGTGACACTGAATCTGATGCTAAGTGTAGTTAACATGCAATTGCCACAAATGTACACAATGTGCAATTTGCAACAAATGCATCTGCTGTCAATGTACTACATTATATGAATTTATAATATTTTTATAATATTTGTAGCTATCGTGACATGAGTATGTACTTCCTACCTGCCTTGCATTTTGTATAATTTTAAATTTAATATTTATTAATTTGCTTTGTTGTCCCATGTAGTGCCGCAGTCGCTGATTGCTGCACGTTGCATAGTGTGCCCAGAAATCGCTAGATTAATTAATTAAAATTAATTAATTAATCAACTAGGCTACCAGCCGGGCTGCCTGGGTCACTTTACAGTCCTTTACTTTCCCGGACGGTCCGGCCGTGCAAGGACCAGGGAAGGTTTTCCAAGCAAAAGAAAATAAAAAAATCCGGAAAACAAACTGTGTTATGCAGAAAAGGAAACTGAACAACTTTTGCCTCAGGGTCACATCGACATTTTTTACCATACTTAAAATAAAAATGATTTTTTTTTTTTTTTTTTTTTTTTTTTGGGCCTGGCCAGGGAAGTGGCCCCTGGCTACTCTGGTAGCCTAGTTAAAGTTGCTCAATTAATTATTAATTATTAATTAATAAAATAAGCTACCAGGGTGGCCTGGGGTCACTTCCCCGCCCGGGCCAGAAAGAAATTAAAAAAAATAAAACAATTACGTTTTAAATTCTATTTTTTATTGGAATTCATTCTAAATTTGGTGAAGAATTTCGATGTGACCCTGAGGACTCTTTTGGTGCTTTTCGAGAGCGGGAATCGCGGATTTGATAGTGTTTTCCCTTTTGAAAGACAGTGGATTTTTTTCGTTGCAGACTTTTCTGGTGCTTTTGGAAAGTGGGAAATTGGGGATTTGGTAGTGTTTTTTTTCTTTTGGAAGACAGTGGTTTTCTACAGGGGAGGGGCTCCACCCGACGAAGCGGGGGATTAGAGACCTTGCAATCCCTGAATCTGCAGTTCTTTGACATTGTTTTTTGCCTTGGGCACCGCACCCTAATATTGTTTTTTGCCTTGGGCAGTGCATCCTAATAAAACTACTGTTTCTTGTATTTAAAAAAAAAAAAAAAAAGTTCAGTTTATTCTTTTGCATAACAACGATAACACATTTTTTTTTTTTTTTTTTTTTTTTTTTTTTTTTTTGCCAAGACCTTTCCTGGTCCTTGCACGGAGTGGCCACCCGGGCCCCGGGCGGCCCGTCTGGTAGCCTAGCTAATAAATTAATCACTTAATAGTACGTGGTTGATCCCTCGATTGATTTCCTTTTTTCTTTGTGTGTTTTGAACTGTTTTTTCTTTGCAGTCTGCTCTTCATGGAGGCTGTCCTGTGACGAAAGGCGAGAAATGGGTGGCAACAAAGTGGATCCGAGACGAGGCGAGGGACTTTCAACTGAACTGAACTGAACTGAACTGACAATGCGCTGAATGCGTCATGCATGCAAAACAGAAAAAAAGTAAACTACTTGACAAAGTTCAAAGTTGACAATAACCTTTTCGACAAAACTTCGAGAACCGAGAGTTTCCAAGGTTATTCTTTCTTCTTATTCTTTTTTTTTTTTTTTTTTTTTTTTTTTTTTGCCAGTGAAAATCATTTTTCGGCAGCCAGTGTGTGTATTTGACACAATTTGTACATGTCTCTGTGTGTGTGTGTGTGTGTGTGTGTGTGTGTGTGTGTGTTTTAACTTGGTTACTCCATTAATTAGAGTCTCTATCATTTGCTTTGTCATTTGTAGTTAGTTAGTTAGTTAGTCAGTCAGTTAGTTAGTTAAATAGTTAGTTTGATGAACTTCGATCTGAGCGCGTTGCAGTATTAACCTATAGTTTACCAAAGTTAGTTTGTTGAGTTTTTAGTTGATGCCTCTACTTCTTTGTCTTAATTTCTCTTAAATGGTTAGTTCCACGTGATGTGCTCATGCCCTCGGCTGGTTCAATTAGCAAACCTACCTAGAGTTAGTTCAGGTGCAGTCATGCTCGTTAACTTAACCTGCAGTTAATCACGGAGTTTAGTTATTAGTTAGGTGATGCCTGCTACTTTGTCGTCATCATGGACGCGGGGGGGGGGGGGGGGGGGGGTAATTTTCGTGCGATGCATTCACGCCTGCTGCTGGTGCATTAACCGACCGATTGTTAGTCGAGATTTGCACTTTTTTTTGTTCATTTTTTCTTTTTTTACGCCATGCGATGCAAGTCATGCCCACTGCTGGTGCATTAACCAACCGATTGTTAGTTGAGATTCTCTCTCTCTCTTTTTCTTTTTTTCTTTTTTGTTCCTTTTTTTTTTTGTTTTAAGTGAGCTTTCTAACAGTTAATTTCCATGCGATGCATTCATGGCCACTGCAGGTGCATTAACCAACCGATTGCTAATTGAGACTCGCACTTTTTTTTGTTTGTGTGCTCGTTTTTGCTCCACACTGCATCCCAGCCTTCAGTCATTCCGTGGCACAGCCTTCTCTTCGTTAATCATAATTTTTTATTTTTATTTTTTGGGGGGGGGAAGGGGAGGTGGGATTGGGGGTTGAATGCCGCTTCTTTTCTTTTCTCTGTGTATCTTTTGTTTTGTTGTGCACTTGGTGAAGCACCGGCAATCACGTCATCACTCCATTTTCTTTTTCTTTTTTTTTTTTCTTTTTTCTTCCTAAAACGGAACTATTTCTGTTGATTTCACACAAGATATGAAATCTGAGAAAATCTTCAAAGTCGGAAAAATTATGATGATTTCTTACTAGTCTTAGAAATTTAGTAACTGGCTAGGCTACGAGCCGGGCGTCCCGGGTCACCCTATTTTCCCGGGTGGCCTGCTGGTGCAAGTACCAGCGCAGATCCCAGCCAAAAAAAAAATAAAAAATAAAAAATAAATAAATAAAAATTCCGAAAGAAAAGTATGTTATGGAGAAAAAGTGGAGAAAAAGAGACCGAACAACTTTTGCCGCCTCAAGGTTGCATCGAAAATATTTACCACATTTAAAATACAAATTTTGGTTAAAAAACTCTTCGTTTTTTTTTTGGCCCCACTGGGCAAGTGGCAGCCTAGGGCACTGGCAAATTGCAAGAGACGACATGTGAAAGGAGATCACATATTTTTGGCATTTTGCAACTTTCCGGGGACGTGGCGATCCGAGAGATGCACCATTTAGCAGTTTTTCCTCGCGGCCGCTCGAAGTACATTTGCAGCAGTGGACGCATGTGCACAAATATACAGCTTGGGTACATTCATAGAACCGTAGTAGGTACGTATCGTAGGCGGCATAGTATGTACGTAGAACATTCAAAGAAGGCTCACATCACTTGCATAGAACTTGCGCAGCTCATGCGTAGAGTCTGAACTGTCGCTAGTAATGTGTGGTTGGCGCAGATATGCAGCTGGTAGGCAAAATAGGGTGCGCAGTGCGTTACAATAGTGGGGGGAAAGGAGGTACACACTTTCAAATTTCAATGTTAAGTGGATGTGCAAAGGAGTCTCCTTGATGTTTGATACCCCCCGCTTAGCAGAGGATCACATTAAAAAACAAACAAAAAAAAAGCAGCGAAGCATCACAGACGTCTTGCTGGGCAGTTACTGCACTTCTCTTGCATTTGAAATTTTCGAAATTTGGAAGCTTCCCTCTTTTCATGTTTTTTTGGAGGGAGGGGTGGGGGGGGGGGGGGGAATTTGGAAGTTTTTTTTTTTTCAGTTTTTTTTTTTTTTTCCTTGTTTAACAGCGAAAATTTTTTGACGTTTTTAAGGGTTTTTTCTTTTTTTTTTTTTTTTTTTTTTTTTTTTTTTTTTTTTTTTTTGCCTTTAAAATTTTAATATTTTAGGTTTTTTTTTTTAAAAAAAATAAAAAAAAAAAAAAAAAAAAAAAAAAAAAGTGGGACACTTGAATGTCCTCTATGTACTCCATGTCACGTAGAGCACATTTGGATGTCANTTTTTTTTTGTGCACTTACTGGGTTGTGTAAAAAATTGAGAAGAAATGTATATATTTTAAGAAACTTTATTTATTACAAGTTTACAACTTCAATGATTTATACGGGTATGGGACATCTTCACAAAAAAATTGTCTTATGAGGGGCATCTTTGCAAATTGTCTGACACCAGTCGAAGTTGGGTTGAAGTTTCTTTTTTGTTTTTTTTTTTTGTTTTGTTTTTTTTGTTTTGTTTTCTAAGTTGAAAGTACACTATGGCCATTTTCGGCAGCCTCGTTGTGCGCTAGCAAACAATGAGGGCAGAACGGCTACGTATTGTTGTGAAGGAGCAACCAAAAAAAAAGAAAAAAGGAAGGGGTGAAGAGGCCACTTCATGACCCCTTTTGACCCCTGATTTGTGATCAGAACAACAGTGATTTACTATTTCCACCTCCTGTTAAACAGCTAAAACTTAAAACCACTTCTTCCACAGAGGAGTCAAGAGGAGGCCTCTTGACCCCTATTTTGGGTTGGCTGGTTAAAGAAACTTATTACCCCTGTTACGACTGTAAAATGGTTTCGAAGAAGGGTCAAGAAGAGGCCACTTGACCCCTTTTTGTTTTTTTGGTTGCCTGTTGAGAACGCCTCTACACCTTTTTACAATCTTAAATGGGTTCCCAAGAGGGGTCAAGAAGAGGCCTCTTGACCCCTTCTTGATCCCCGCCATTGGTTGGTCGATTGGGATACAATCGTACAACAGATAGGACTTGAGCTTGTGTCTCTTTCTCCTGTGGAGTTTACAATCGTAAATGGCTTCCCAAGAGGGGTCAAGAAGAGATCTGTTGACCCCTTCTTGACCCCTGTTATTAGTTGGTCGATTGGATACAATGGATAGGACTTCAGCAACAGCCATGTCTTTTCCTCCTGTGGAGTTGTCGATCGTCTGCAGGCGCTTAGCAGATTTATTATTATTAATTTTTTTTTCAGGAGGTAGTTCTAGTGGTGGTTCACTAAAGTTCATCGCCGAGGGAGATGTGCATAATGTCATGTTTTAGCCAGAAAATCAGCATAATCCCCGCTGGTGCTATTTTTGGGCTATGACAGCATGCACCTGGCCATTGTCATGGCCATGTTCGTGCTTTCTGCACACGACTATGCCACCAGTGGGCCAACCTCGATATTGGTTTGGTACCTCCCCAGTGGCTGAAGTACGCGAAAAAAAAGGGCCTCAGTTCGCTGCACGACTCGGCTGATGTCAACATTCTGAAAAGATCAGAAGCTGCTACTGTTCCAACGTACATCCATCGCCGCCATTGTTGTTGCTGTTGTGATTGTTGTTGTTGTTCTTTGTCTTTTTAGCTTGTTGAAGCAGGAAGAGTTATTCATGCAGCTAAGGTTCCAGATTCTTCCTCTCAGTGACTGGCCTCTACAACACCATGGACTTTTTACTAAAAAGGATTCTAATAAAAAAATAAAAATAAAAAGAGAGAGCGGGGGGAAGGTCTCATCCATCTGACAAGTTGCGGAGCGTGGAGTGATGTAAGGGTGCATTTGTTCAGCCTCTCAAATTTGATGGCCATTAGCCACTGGGTTTCTCTATCTATCGATCTATCTTCTCCTCTTTCTTTTTTCCCCTTGTCCTATCAGTCAAACAGACTCTTATATCTATATATATGTATCCTGTCACCGCAGGAATTTTCTACTGAAGCAAGTTCGCCTATATAGAACCCAGATGAAGGCTATGCGGAACATTGAGCAATGAGCATCCCCCAGTACTACCTCCCCTGGCTCCCCACCCAGATGGCACCAATCTATTGGTGGGAGACCGCCTAGCACCAAGCCGACCATGGCAGCCAGAGCCTCTCTCTCTGTGTGTGTGTGTGTGTGTATGTGTGTGTGTGTGTGTGTGTGTGTGTGTGTGTTGTCATATTCGCTGTAGACTCAAAAAAAGCATGTGTACCAGACTGTTTCGTCGTACTTTCACCGACTCATCAGGAGGTTGAAGTGTGTGTGTGTGTGTGTGTGTGTGTGTGTGTGTGTGTGTGTGTGTGTGTGTGTGTGTGTGTGTGTGTGTGTGTGTGAAAGCTCCCATGGGCCATCTTTTCTCGGGTTTCTTATCAGCTCCTCCAGGCTTCCCCACTTTGTGACCTTTGAATATCGACAAGCATAGAATTTCTCAAAGGCCTAACTCACCTAAGTTTGTATTTCTTGATAACCTAAGGCCACAATAACATGTATAATACGACTCAGGCCTGCTAAGGGAGCTGCAAAAGGAGTAGTGGTTGAAAATGCCACAGGTTTTTGAATTATAAAATGCAAGTATATCTGCGTGATCGATCGGGATCATAATTCTTATTACCTTTGTAAGTGCGGTTTACACATCCATATCGTAAAGTCGTTCTGTAGGACGCTTTGATCTGAAAGTGACTCCAATTTGCCAGAAAAAAAACAGGCTCAACTCTATAAACGCCAGCGGGCTCCCACTGTATTCTTGGGCAATTTGGGCTTATATGGCTTGCTTGGTTCAAACACACCATTCAAAGGCAGCCCCTTAGTTTTGTTATTTCTGAAAAGCAACTTCTTGCGCT